TGGATTTTGTATTCCAATACCAATGTAGCATGTGTGTTTTTAATTGTATCCTTAAAGTTTGAATTTGCCGGTTGTTATGATTATATGTTTGGTGCTGAAAACACTAAAACATTCTCTGTTGTATAGAGAAGTGCATAATTTGAGTGGGAAAGGTTTGGTTCTAATAGTTTGATGTATTGTTGGCTTAAATGAGATTAGCTGCAACTAGAATTCTTAATCATTCATAGTAGAAGACCCGAAATAACCCAAATAGCTTTGTTCTTTTGATTTGGATTTTCTTACCTTCTGGTCTGGGTCAGAGTACAACCGACCTGCTTTGTTGCTTGATCCCTTGTTGGATGATCCAACTGATTGGACTGTACATGTACATAAAAATAATTGAAAAATTAGTCCCATGTTGGTATTGGAAAACTTCAACTGTATGCGATACCCATTTTTTTACTAGTCAGGTTGTTTCCTCATGATTCTTTGGTGCATCTCTGGTATGCCTCATGTGAATTTTCTGAACAATTTTTGTTGGCTGTCCATCTTCTCAAAGTGTTCTATTAAGCTTTTTATTGGATTGCTTTATCTCATTCAAAAAAGTACTTTTGTTTTCTACATTTTATTTGTTTGTTTGCTTATTTATTTGGTCATGAGTGAGTTTTAGGTAATGTGTTGAGGTTCGGTCTTGACTATAATATTCATAGTTCTGTTCTTCTCTATGTATCTCTCTTCCAGGTTTCTGGGAAAGACGGAATACCATCTGATTCAAAGTCCATGTCTGCTTTATTGGATGCCACCTCTAGCATCAAAGGTGAGACCGATCAAGTCTCAGTTGGAGAGCATGGTGTTTACTATCCACCTACTAGCTGTTACAATTATTATTACCCAGGTTAGATGTCAAAATGGTTCTTTGTAATTGATCTGAATTTATTAGTGTAATAGAGTTCTACTAAAGCCGTGAATTTAGTGGAGTTTTTAGTGGCGAATTGTATTAGTTTTGATCATTTAACTTCTATAGAATGCTTAACTTGAGGTTCTAATTATATTTCAATTGTAACTTCTTACTTGGGAAGAAATAATTTCTTCTTTATGCATGTAAGCAGCGTAAGATCTTTGTTGTTATCATCTTTTGTACGTATAATTTTATTGCATTCTGATTATTTTTCAGTGGCGATTACCATTGAAGAATACAATTTGTTTTTTAAGGAAACCTTTGCTGCTGTACTAAAACTTACGTGTTCTGCAATCCATCTGTCTATTGTCACTAAAATAAACAAATACGTAGGAAGAGTGGTAAATGTCTATTCTTTAAGTGAGCTTGATTCCTAAATGTTTGTTTTGGATGTTTTGTTATTTGTAATGGTTGCAACTAGGCAATTAGCATGAGTATATGGTTCAAACATGAAATCCACAATAAAGTTTTTGTTGTTGAAGAAGTGAAGCTGTATATTTCATCAAAACATGAAACCCTGTTATCAAATCGTGGAATAAAAAACGGGAACACATTCAGAAGAGTGTTTAATATAGTCTGGTTTGTCTAAATTGTGCTTTAGTCAAAGTACCTGTTATTTCTTCAACTTAGATCCATTTTGGTACTCAAATTTCGAATTTCTTGTGGGTGCAGGATATACTGGATCGTTTACGCAGATGGATGATCATGCTTATATGCACGCTAATAGTTCACATACAGTATGGCTGTTTCAATCAGGCCTTGGATGCTTAAATTTATTCATCAATGTGACCACTTCTAATTGAGCATGCAGTAATTTTATTCTTTTCCTTGATGATGATCCAGGGTGCTCAGTCAGACAGTGGTTCAATGTTGTATTACCTTCCCAGCTATAACCCATATGCCCCAGGAACTCTAATGGGAATGGACGGGCAAGGTGTTGGCCAACAGCAGTACTATCCTTCCTCAGGATATGTGCAACCACCTATTTCATACGGATCAGAAGCTGCGCCTAGTTATTCTTGGGACTCAACATTTGGTGGAGACGTCTCGACTGCAGCAAATGCTGGTTCTGGAAATGTTAAGGCTGGACCTGGGTCAACTGCTTTATCTAGGTCAAATGGTTTTACATCGACTAAAGCCAGTGGCCCTCTTGCAAGCAAGTTTTCCAAGCCTCTCCCTCTAACACAACCTGGCAAGTCATTAAACAAGGTTCGGAAAAGAATTTCTGCAACTTTGGTTCAGGAATTTCTAAGTGTTAGGAAAGATTCCGGCATTTGCTTGAGCCATTAAATGGATGTTATGTGTTGCATTGCATGATAACTTTCCATATTTATTTGCTGATATATAACAAGAACCATCTAATTGTTAGTATAAATTTTATTCTATAGGTTCCTCATCTGGGCAATGATTTTTCAGCGGGTCTTTTGAAGGGCTACCCACCAGCAGGAAGATTCTCATCATTTACTAACCAGAAATATGGTTTGTTTCCTCCTACTGGTCAAACATACTACCAATCAAATGGTAGAATTCTGAATGGAAATGATAGATTCAAGTCAAGGGAAAAATATAACAGGAATGAAGATTTTGAATCTTCAGCTGAGTTGACACGTGGTCCAAGGTCCCGCAACAAGAGTTCTCCATTAGACTCACCAATTGAGAAGGAAGAACTAGGAATCACTGTTCGTAGGGATAAATATAACTTACCAGATTTTCAGACAGATCATGAAAAAGCGAAGTTTTATGTCATCAAGTCTTACAGTGAAGATGATGTCCATAAGTCCATTAAATATGATGTTTGGGCCAGCACTCCCAATGGCAATAAGAAATTAGATGCAGCATTTCATGATGCAGAGTTGAAATTGAGGGAGACGAACACTCAGTGCCCCATCTTTCTCTTCTTCTCGGTGAGTTTGGTATATGCAATTTCTCTTGATTTTTGGGTTATAGCGTTTCATTATGTAGTATGCCCGGTCATGCACTGAGAATAAACTTTTATTATTGTTCTCAGGTAAACGGAAGCGGACAGTTTGTTGGTGTAGCTGAGATGATTGGACGGGTAGATTTTAATAAAGATATGGATTTCTGGCAAGTTGACAAGTGGAGTGGATTCTTTCCAGTAAAGTGGCATGTAATAAAGGACATACCGAACCCTCAGTTGCGGCACATTATCCTGGAAAACAATGACAACAGACCAGTAACTTTTACCCGGGACACTCAGGAGGTATTATTTTTATTTTTGATCTCATTGGCAGCTGCATTTTTTTGTGACACATTATAGCTTCATTTTCCTTGTTTGCTCTATTGTATGTTCTCTGTTTCATTGTTATGACATGATTGTAATTAAGACTCTTTTTCACATGTATTATAATGTTCAGATTGGACACAAGCAAGGTTTGGAAATGCTGAACATTTTTAAAAGTTACACAGCTAAAACATCTTTGCTAGATGACTTTACGTTCTATGAAAATCGGGAGAAGTCTCTGCAAGCCAAAAGGAGCAATAAACCCGCAACTTTGAAGATGGAAAATTACGATAATGGTGATATCACTGTAAGTTTTATTTTCTTTGATTAATGCCTATTATAGTACCATATCTATTTTATTGAGTTTAAGAGCTGTGTTGGTTTTTGCAAACTACTTTTTTCTTCTGTATAGTGTTTACATATTGTACTTTAAGATACGACTTCCCTCAACTTTAATGAACGAAAAGTTGCGGCTAATTAAAGTTTGAATTTCCTTTTCCATTAACCTCCTTTTGCAGAAGCATATGAATGCTGGAGGGAGAAACATTGATGTCGAGTCTGGTGGGATGAGGATGGGTTCTCTCATCTCGCTCACGAAAAATATGTCCCTCAACGCCTGCCAGTGACGTGAATGGGTTCTCTCACATCGCCTTAGGTCTGGAAGGTTTTGATTCTTAGGATGTTTTTTTTGAGCTATATTTTTGTTTTCAATTTTTCTATCTAAGCTGGTTTGTGAGTTTAGTTTTTGTGCTTGGCTTATTTTGCTGTTGAGTCTTAAGTCGAATTTCTTGTGAGCAAATTGTCCTAGAAATCGATGTTTTTCTTTTCGCTCTATCATGAAAGATTGATTTTTTTTCAATACACAGTTTGTGTTGTTCCTTGCTTATACTTTTGGAAGCAGCATAGGCCGACTCGATTTATTTAAGATTGCCCCAATCGTGCTTTGTCTCGTGCTCGGGTTTTTACACTCCCATCGTGCTCTGTCGTGTGCTCGTGTGGTTACGCTGTTGCATTACCAAAAATTCACCTAACTTCTAGTCTCAATTTTGTGAAACCATGAGAATGCCAAAATCGTTCTTTGAAATGGTTGTGGTCTACGTGGGAAGGAAGGAATTGGATTTACTGGATTTCTGGTAATGGTTAAATGGTGGGCAGCAAACGGCGCCGAACCATCATTGGTTCGGTGCTTTGGTCTCCGCCCTGGTATCAATCCTGACACCAACAAGGTGTATTTATACATTCAAAACGCAAAACCAGACCCTAATAGGACTTAATGTTCAAATAGAAAAGGAATTAAACCATTAACAAATTTCCAAAGTAGTATTCCCAAAACCCAAAACGTTGCTTTGGTATGGTACGATGGTTTTTGGCAAAAATTGCCCTTATGTCACGAGCGAAGCCGATGTGTTTTGATCCTTGCGTCATTTTCTTCAAAAGACAAATTAGAAGCCCTATTTCCGACAACCAGACCTACATACCAGCAGCCTTGCTGCCAGTTTTGCGTCTTCCGCGCTACCCTTCAATCCACTCTGCCATCCGTTCTACATCATCTTGTTTGAGTTTGTTCCTCCTAGGTCTCTCCATACACAATGGTTTACTAGTTTGACTCTCATTCGGATGATGAATTTAGATTGTTTTGACATTTACCGGGAAGGGGTTATGGCTGCGGATTATTTCACTGACATCAATTTATCTTCTTCATCTTTGGTTGTGGCTCTCCGTCAGTGGTTCTTGCTTATTTGCATTCGGATTTTGTTGGCTTGCCTAGTTTTTTTATTTTTGAATTAGTGTGGATCATACGAGTTAGGCACGCTCTGATGTGATTTTTTTTTCCAAAACCATTCATTATTATAATCATGTTGCAATTAATTACAATTAATCCCTAGTCTTCCAACTTTTTGATACTAGCTACGATCCTCAGGGCCTCGGTAAATTGGCAACGGTTTATAGTCTTCTGTGACGGCGGCGCCAAGTTGCTTGTATGGACGAAGCTGCTAAGAGCTCCCACTGCTCCGGCCTAGGATCCTCCGAGTTGGACATCTCCTTGCTGAAATGCCACCAGAGTCTAGAGACTACACACTTCACGTCGACGGCCATGAGAGCGAAGGCTTCAACTTTGGTGTGGGACTTAACAGTTCTGGTCGAGATGGGAATATCAGAAAACGAGGAAGATTTTAGTGCCCAACTTAGAAGTTGTTCGCCATAGAAGTCGGTTTTCTGAAGACATCCATTGCCTCCAGTGTTGCTAGACGACGATGCGTAGATCCATGCAATGCCTTGTGTGATGAATAACATCTTATCAAGTGGCTCCCCTTCTCGGACAATAAAACTATCCTCGGCATACCTTACTTGCTTAAGGTTCCCACATACTGCTTGCAATACTTGTTCATCCAAATTATGAAGCAAAGGAACCTAATCAAGATTAAGATTCAATTCATATCATGCATAGGTTTAAGAAAACTTAAAAGAGGAATGAATTCAATAGGAGCATCAATATTAAACGCTTTTTTTTCTTCGATCATTTCCAAATTACAATTGAATTTCTTAAATGATCAAATTCTCATCATGGATATCTGATCTAATCATTATTTCTTTTGGTAAAACTGTGTGTCAAAAGACCCTTAGAAAAACAACTAACTATTAACAAAATGGGTCTAGGGAAACCCCATCATCCTAAAAAATCAACCTATCCACAAAAGCAGGAGGCTCATAAAAAACATGGAGACCATTATTTCCTTGATAAATATTCAATATATCATAGATAATTGATTTTGATCACCTTAGCAATTGTTATTTGTTTTTCAATGATTTTTGCTGATTTCCCTCTTTATTTGATTCTTTTGATAATTAAGAAGAAGAGTTTAGACTAAATAATCATCGAATTGTTCAATGAAAAATTTCTTAGATTCTTCAGAATAAGCTATTAAACACTGAAAAAGAAACAAATTTTACTAAAATCATTAGATAAGAAATGACAATTACTGAATAGATCAAAATAAAAAATCACCGAAATACCGATTAAAGATTGATGAAATACCAATCAGATATTAACGAAATATTGATAACTTATATCATTTTAGAAATTGGATTTGATCATCTATTAAGTTTTCCAGTAAAATAAATCTTCAATTTCTTATCTAAACAAAAGCAACTTACTTTCTTGATCGTATCCATGCAGAGATGGTGCTTTATGGATTTTCTGACACGCCAGTGTAGCATAGAGAATAAGTGCTCCATATCAACATCTTCGTTTCCTTTCAATATTTGTTCTATGTTTTTCATGATTCCTGTCTTCATATGCTTATCACGGATACCATTTTTGTCCATCCACATATGTATATCTACCCCTTTCCTTTGCATCTTCATAGATAACACTGAATCTAGTCTTTTTTCCTCTGATTTCATAGTTGCCAACTGAATGAATGTCTGCAATTCTTACACGAAAACACGTTCTTTTGTTATTCATAAAATGTTGGACTATTAGGGAATATGCATGCATGCATTAATGGGATTTAGGGCTGGTTTAGAAGTGCTTTCAAAATGGCTAAAAGTGTTTTTGATGAAAATGTTTTTGGAGTCAATTTTGGAAAAGCACTTGAATTGCTCATACAAGAAACACATAACTGGTGCTTTGCAGGAAGCACTTCTGGTGGCTTTGAAACCCAAAAACATTTTTTTTTTCTTTCTAAAAACGCTTTCAATTATTTAAAATGCACTTCCAAATGAGCTCTTAATGAAATTGAGTTTTATGTTGAAGGGCAAACAACACAAAATTAATAAAGTTCATATGAGTAGTTTGGCAATGGTTAGACAATAACCATGGGTTTTTTTTCCTTCTAAATATAATGATATAATTATATGGTAACGATATATTCATATTAAGGGGTCGGAATTTGGACTAAGCAACACAATAGGTCTTTCATGATAATTTGGTTCGAACACGTTAACGATAAAAGTCAAACTTAAAACTTTCTACTTACACTTAAAAAGAATATCACTAGTCTATATTATTGAATGAAAGATCATGTACTCATTCAATTAAACATTGAACACCGGTTGTTCAGTGTGACCCTAATACAATCAAGTGGTGTTACTTAGTCCACTTGTTAGTTGTTATAATATAGATGTACGATATAATATCTTTTTGTCATTTTAGGCATAACGCATAAATAAAAAGAAGATGTATTTTAATATGAGCAGATTAATAACACATATGCTAGTGAAACTGAGAAGTCTCAAGTATGAGAGTTGGAACCTGCCCGTGTTATAACTTGAAATTAATTACCTTTTTTTCTAATAACACCATTATAGTAAACACGTCTTTTAACTTGAAAAATGTCATAAAACCCTATTACGGTGTTCCTAAAACCCTACAATAAGTAACTAATACCAATAAGAAAAAGATACGAAAAACAAACGTTGGACGGATTAATTTGTTACCAACCTGCACATTCCCAATAAGGTATAGAAACAGTAGCAAACCCATGACACAAATAAGAATTGCAAGTCCGTTTTCCCACACATAAGTACTTGTTTGAAGATTCTGACCAAAAGAACTGCAAAATTTCATAAGCAATGTTTGAAATACTAATGTCAAAAGCTTATTATAAATATTGCTTACGTATATAATGAGTATAAATCCCGTTCTCTCAGTCACCAAGCATAAAAAATTCATAGTCTTTCACTTTGTATTTAATAATAAAAGTTGAGATTGAAACATAAAAAACACATCGATTTATCACCCACCTTTAATATCAAATTCAAAAATGTATACTCAGGCTTCTATTAATTACTTGATGAAAAAGAAAATATTTATGTTGTAAGTAAATCTACGAACCTTAAATTTCGGAGAGCCCACCAAAAAGAGTAAAAGATCCTTGGTGGAATGTTCATTGACTGCGTGGTACCAGACTCGAGGGCACTACTAAACATTCCAAAATCAAATAGGGTTGCATTTGTTGGATTGGTAGGGCACTTTTCACCAAGGAAGGATATATTTCTTGAAGTTGTAGGAGTGGTGCCATCGCATAAATATGTAGACATGCATGCTGGAGTCGTAGGATGATGCATACAAGCACGATGCCAACATGATATCTCTCGTTGAATAGAATAAAAGTACCAAAAAGCTCCTGTTATCTAAAACACCAGCAAGGTACGTAGTTAGTAATTAAAACAAGTACAAAAAGGCTAAGTTCTTGAAAAATAAAGGATTAATCACATTTTGCTCTTTTGTGTGATTTTGGACCAATAACAATTTGGTTCTTATTCATTAAAATTGGCAAAATGAATTAAAAACATGTTAGACTAGCTATTGGTTTCTTGGTCCGCTAAAACTATCAAGCTGACTACTATTTTTTTTTCTCTGATTGGTGTCATGTGTTGCCATAATTATGGGGTTAACTAGGGTTTTCTTTAGAAAGTTTCTTATATATTGTTCATAAGTTTTTTTTTTAGGATTATTTTTTTGATACAACGATATTGGAGTTTGGAGTTTGACTAAGCTACATAGTGGACCAAAATTTGCTGTTGTTTATGAAAGTCGAACCTAAGACTTTTCACTTACAAAATGAAGATGAATGCTATTAGACAAATTTTTAAGAGAAAACTTTGAGCAAAGAAAAAAAAATTAAAATAAAAAGAAAGATTAAAGGAATTATATATGAGAATTAATGTAATTGAAACTTACATGACTAGCAAGGATGTAGAGGAAGAAATTGAATGCCCCTTTAGCCCATTTTCCAGCCTTCGGCTTAAGTTTCTTCGAGGTCAAGTGAATCCGATACACCTTTGGTAGATATTGAAGGAGAAGAAACGCATTCAAAATCTTACTCCTTTTGTAAAAATACTCAGAGCCATTCAGATCTAGAAAGAACAACAATATTGCCACCTAAACAAATTGAAAGGATTTAAATTAGAGTCAAGAGTGTTATATATCGAAGAGAAATCATCTAGTTACACATTGGATAATATGATTTGTTTGTACCCCATATACTTTATCAATTCCAAAATTATTGAGTACCTGTGAACTTTATACATTCAGAGATCCATGGAAGGATTCGTGTTGAGGCACCCCTGCCAAAGCACATAAGTTTTGCTCTAACCGAGAGGCCAATCACAACATGTTACGTGTCAACATCAGAATAAAGCTCATAAAGTCCCACATCAACCACGAACGAGAGTGAGCGACTCCCCTCAACTATAAAAGGAGACCATTCTCCTATAATTACTCCCCTGTACTATTATTCCACTTAATCCATTATTAGAACTTACTACTAATGATTGTGCTTAAACCTTTGTGTTAGTAAATTTTACATTATTAATGAGAACTCTACCCAACTTGGGATGAACCATGTATATCTTGTGTTGGTTTCCAAATCTCTATCTCAATCATGTATATTTTGTGTTTGTTTCCTTATCTCTATCTCTTTACATATTTACCTACACTTAGTGACCGAAGCAACCTTGCGAAGGTCATAACTTGACACTTTACGTTGTTCCAAAGTTTAACCGTTTTGTGCATCACAATGAGTTAGCAATAATGTGGTTCAAAAGTTATAAAGAAAACTATGACAATATTAACGAAAAAGAAAAAGGTTTTCGTCCTAATGTAGAGTGACATAAACAGTTAAAAACGGTGTGTCTTTAAATGGGCACATGTCATCTAAACTGCATGTTTTAGCCACTCACCGTCATATAGCAGAAACAGCCAATCGATAAAGTTTTTCTCGGCAAACATTTTACTTACCAAAATGTTTAGGTTTACCTGTGGGATGGGAAGAATGGCGAGAAAGTCAACTAAGATGGAGATGGCCACAGCAGTAGTGTTGGTACTAGTAACACGAACTTCATGTAAAATATGTATTATGAAGGTCATATCCGTGAGTGAACGTAAGAGGAGAGCTACAGTCCTCAAACTCGTGTCCTTCCTTATGCATTTCTGCTCCTCAACAACGACCGGAATGTAAAAGAAGAAAGGATCGAGCGAGACTGCAATCGCACATGAAATCACAAACATCTTAGACCATATTACGCCGAAGCGTCCCCGTGGATCAAGAATTTCCTTCACGGTTGCCCCTTTTCCCGTCTTGGTTGATGAACGTGAACGTCCTCCATCTATTCTCATGTAATTAGTTAATTGTCTTCCCATTCTGTTATTTTGAGAACCTGCAGTGCTGCATAAACAATAGAAAGATAAATAAAAACATATATTTATCGCAAAAACAATTGCAGTCTCATCAAATTGGATGAAAAAGAATGCACAAATGAATTAATCCGTCGTAGAACTGTACTAGGAACCAACAAAAGTGAGCTTAATGCAATTGAAATGAAATTACATTTGTTCATATATATCGAATATATATACAAGTAAATTTTTTTTACAAGTCTATGAAATAGTCAGAAATATGTAAACAATGAAATACTTGGTTTCCTATGATTACGTTGAAAGGAATCAAATCTTAAACCTATTCTTATTCAGTTGAAAAAAAAAAAAAAAAAGATGAAAAAAGAAAGAAGCATATTAATTATTCGTCGACTAACCTCTCGGTTCCCCGTGTCCGGTTCTCAATATCTAACGCCACTGTGGGGGCAGCCATAAGCTCAAACTACTAGCTCAAGCTGCTACACCGAATTAACGAGCTTAATAATTCTTAAAAGGGTAATATTTCTTGGGGTCTCAGGATCCTATACACTAACTTCTGAAGCGGATAAGGTCAACTGGTCAACCACGTTTCATTTCGAAACCCTTTAAACGACATTAAGCCAAACACCCATTAGTATTTTTGCTATATCCAAACACCCCTCTTTTCTCACACCAGAAAATGACTAGACAAAAGAGACATCTCCCATCATGACCAGCCACAGTACTCGTCCCTACCGAAAATGCAAAAATAAATGTATTATTATATAACGAACAACTTGCCTGTACAAAGATTCGATTCCTTTCAACGTAATCATATGAAACCAAGCATTTCATTGTTTACTTAGACTATTTCATAGGCTTGTAAAAAATTTTTACTTGTATATATATTCGATATATATGAACAAATATAATTCGTTGTTTGACCTCTTCATTACAAATTGGTGACTCTAAGAAAAGACTTAGAATACTTGAATCTAATGAAAGATGTGACACAGAATCAAGCGTAAAGACGTTCTAGGATTCATATAGCCGACTCCACTTAGTAGGAAAAGACTTCATTGTTATTGTATATAACGAACTCAAAGTATGTGATGCAATATAGCATCTGGAAGATCTTTAATAAATTTGTGTACTCCAAGACCAAGACTCCAATTTGCATAGCATCTGGAAGATCTGTAATAAATTTTTGTAGATATATCTTTTTCCCTATTTTTTTTCTTATTTTGCCCTCACTTTTGAAACACACTGTAGACAAAAGGAGGGCAAAATAGTAATTTTGTACCTTTTGATAAAATGACAATTATATCCCTATTTTTCCTATTTTGCCCTTCTTTTTTTTTTTTTTTTTTTTTTTTTTTGAGAAAATGACAATCATATACTTATTTTTCTAATTTTTACCCTCACTTTTGATACACAATATTTACATAAGAATGACAAAACAATAATTATGTAATAATAAAAAAAATATGCACTTATTACTTATGAAAAGAAATTGTTCATACACAAAAAGCGTGTGCTCTCTGCTAGGGTTGGGCAAACGGGTACAGGAACCGAGGGTAGGGGCGCGTAATTCAAGTTCAGGGTGGGTTCAAAATTTCTAAACACAAAACGAGGTGGGGCGGTTCAGGTATATGAAATTATCGAGGCGGGCGGGGTCTTGAAATAGGAAGGAACGGGCCCCCGGCCTGGCCCATTTCTTGTCCTCATCCCTAGTCTTCTCGATCTCTCATCCCCGACTCCTTTCATTTCTCTCATACCTCGAGACCTCCTCCTTACCCGTTCCTAGCCTTCCACCGTCCCAGCTCCGTACCCCACCACCATCATTGTCAGACCTCCATCTCTTCTAGCTCACTCCCAGTCTCCTGTCGTCTGCTGCCATCATCATTAGGCCTCGATCTCTCCTGACTCACTCTTTGGAAATCAGTCTCTCTCTCTCTGACGAACTCAAAGGGACATACGAAGTCAAACAACTCGAAACGACGTCTTCTCCATCTGACTTAGACCCATATCTGCAGCGCATGACGTATCATTCGTCCTCTTCAGTTTTAAGGTATTACGTTTTAGGGATTTAGGATTGAAAATTAAATTAAGGTTTCTAGATTTAGGGATTTTGTTGGGTTCTTGAACCTTGACCTTTGTAATGTGTCAATTTCAAATCTTTTATTGAATTGAATTTGAATCAACTGGGTTTGAAACTTCTGTTGAATTAAATTGAATTTGAGCAGGAGAAGAGGCAGATCTGAGTTGGGCAGTGTTGAATCTCATTGTGGGTGGCTATTTGGAACTGGGTTTGGTGGGTTTGGATCTAATGGTAAGGTGGCATGAGTGGAGATAGCATTGAGTGGCGGTGGTTTGGGCGGTGTTATTGAGTTGTAGAAGAATACGAAGGAGGGGTGTGGGCATGGATGGATACCTTAATCTCAATTGATTTTTTTTTTTTTTGGTTTTGTTTGTGTTTAATTGCTTGTTTATGATAGTTATTGATAGATCTTGACATGCCCATTAATTTGATTGTTATTGTCAATGCTGGCTTGATTGTATCAAATTCAAATCGATTGAATTGTATCCCAAAAAAGAAAAAAAAACAAAATAAAAAAAAAGCAAAGGAACCGTGGACCCGACCCAGATCTGCCCGTTTCAACCGGGCTGGGTTGGGTCCGGTTCCTATATTAGAAAATGTTGCCCCCAGTCCGGCCCGACCCGTGCCCACCCCTACTCTCCGCTAGTACTATTATTAAGAGAACCCTCATTGTCAACTTTTTGCCCATTTTTTTCCTATTTTTCCCTCACTTTTGATCCACAATAGACAATACTTACATAAGGAGGGAAAAATAGTTATTTTTGTATCTTTTCAGAAAATAACAATCATATCCTTATTTTTCCTATTTTACTCTCACTTTTGATACACAATATTTATATAAGATAAAAAATATGCACTTATTAAGAGAAATTGTCCCACCATCATTTTTTCATACAGATAAGTGAAATCATGATATTTTTTGGATAATTTGAATAAACAAAAGCGATTGCGTTTGAAGAGAATGTGAAAAGAGGTGAGCAATTGAAAAACTTTTGACGAGAGTCCAAATAAAAAATATAGGCATGTATACTCTCAAGACCAAGACTCCAATTTGTATATGCACCATGCTAATTAATTAGTAATTAACCCGACAAGTTGGATATAATAAATACATTTTACCTGTTCATGCCAGGAGCAGCTGGTCAAGAAATGTAGAAAGAATATTGACAATGTGAGCAGTAGCCCTCTTGTCCCCCATGGCTCCCTCTAGTATATTCCCCCTTCACCAACCAAAACAATTAGTTTAGTCCTTACCAACACGAAAAAGAAATTAGTTTGGCCAAATTGAAAAGATTAATGCTTGGGAGATCTAATAATTATATCATATTAGTGCATCATTACATGTGGCAGGAGATTCATAAAATTAATATATTCATTTAAATAAACTCATTAATTGATGTGGCATGTACAAATCACTTGTCACATGTGATGATGCATCAATGTGGTATTCCTAACATTTTTCAATTAAAAATCATTTAGCCAATTGATTGTTGACCTGATCGTTTCATTGTTTTCCAAAGAATTGGTCTTGTGTATATTTTCTATGTCACAATTAGATACTAAAACGCTTTTTTGATTTGGATGAATTTATGTAAGGATGATCTTTAAATGAAGATTTACAAAGTGAACGGTTCAAATCATGCAAAAATATTGTAGAGTCAACCCAAATGCGCGGTCAGCATCGTATTAAATTTGTTTATGCTCAAAACTACTGGGCGGCCAACACAAACCAGCACGATCAACTGTTTTTTGGGCTTGGAATATAAAGCTACTTTATGAACAAAAGAATTTAAGTGTTTCACTCAGAAATATGGGTTACGTCTATTGTAGTGATCTGATATACATTTGTTGTGGATTAGAATAACACTTTACCATCTTGTATAGGCCCTAAGTGAGCCGCAAAGGTCTTAGGTTTTTAATTTTCTCACTGCCCTATCATTTAATGGGCCGAAGACGTAGATATGACCTATAAGCTATTTCTCCATTATCCATATGACACGTGGAGAGAAGTGATATTTGCTCAAAACTAATTGCATGGTTTTCCGGGTTGACATGTATTGAGTGGTGTGCACATTGCTCCCCCAAGAGTGGTTGGAAAGTACTTTAGTCGAGAGTTGTGCCTGACAACATTTACATCTCTTCATAGACTTTTTTTCCCATCGACGGCCAACGCATGGCTTGGAGTTATGTCTGGACAAACCTATCCTTGGAACTCCGTGCTAGATAGTTGTCAAAGTCTGCCAACCAGCTTGAACGATCGGAAAGTACTTTTAGGTTCTGTGCTCATCTCTTCTTATTAGTAGACAATCCAAAACTATGAGTGATCGGTGGTGGCGGTCAACTTTTGTTCTTATGATTGGTGTTCTGTCATCTGGGTGATGGATTCTTTAGTGGATTTTTTTTACTCTGTTTTTTGGCATTTTCAATTTTTTTGCAATGCGGGTCGGGTTTGGTACGACCCTGCATTCAAACGGTAAGCTAAAGCCCTTAAACCCTGATTTCCCAACGTTCGAAACTTTGCAATCCCAAAACCCTAGAGCCCAATTCACTGTTTGGGGCCGAAGAAATTACGAAGATAAAATCAATGTCAGAAAATCTTAAGCACCCACTCGAACTAGATAGCATCAGTAGCTCCCAATCTCCCCAAAGGCCTCCAAAGGTCTCCAAAACCGCCGACGATCTCAGCGACGGCGATCAGGAGTCACAGCAACCTCAACCGATGAGCCAACAGGCTCGAATCCAGCGGTATCTACTGGCAATCGAGTACATTGGTACTCGCTTTTCGGGCTCGCAGCAGCAGTCCAATTGCCGCACAGTTGTTGGAGTCCTTGAGGTGATTTCTGTGAAATTTGAGATTTGAGTGATAAATGCTACGTCTTTTTTACCAATGAAAATTTCATTGCTTTTGAATTGTATTGTCCTTTCATTTCCTCCGTCATGGGATCGTTGAGTTGCGGTGAACGAATTGTTCGAAATGTTCATTTTGTTGCAAATCAAGTGGTTGGTTGATTGATTTTTTTTGAATTTTGTAGGAGGCATTTCGTAAATTTATTGGCCAGCCGGTTTCGATATTCTGTTCCAGTCGAACTGTAAGTCTACTTGTGACTTCGTTGTATTTGGAATTTACTATCACTAGTTTTCTTTGACTTGTTATTTCGTAACTCGGAAAAAGTATAAGAGTGACAGTATTAAGTGTCACTTTGTCGTCTTTATTTTCTAGCAAGCATTATATTAACTGGGAGATGGGGTGGATGTATTCCTTTTTGTTGTTGTAGGATGCAGGAGTCCATGCCTTGTCAAATGTTTGTCATGTAGATGTCGAGCGCATAAGCAAAAGGAAGCCTGGTGAAGTGGTAAGTCATTTAAAAATAATATGTTATAACAGTGATGCACTGCATATAATATGGGACAAGAGAAGTGAAGTAGTGCAGTTAAATTAGCATTCTTGGTTGTTCTGTCATGGAAGCTGTTTCATTCCCATGAGGTTGCAGTAAATTTGATGTTTATCAATCTGTTAAAAAAATCATATTCTGAAATCAAAGACTAGGCCTTTGAGCCACCTTCGAAGTTCAAGGACCTTTTAGTTAAAGAAAGTGCGTCGGTGATAATCGTTGTCTTTTAATAGCCCTATGTTGGTATTCAGCGTGGGTAGACGAACATTTGTTGCTTGCATACACAGAGGCACCTACACTCAACCAATTTAAATTTCCTTTGTACTTTGTGGTAAAAGAATTATAAAGATATCATATTTGAACAGTTCTGGTTGCTATAAAAGTTACTTTTGTTTGTGTTTAAATGCAGTTAGAACCCCATGAACCTTCAGTTGTCAAAAGAGCTGTGAATCATTTCTTACAGGTGTGCTTTCTTTTAATTGTTCGAATCACAAGAATATCATTTTGGAGACTTAGTTTGACTGTATATGTGGATTGCGGATTTAAAACCAGAGCCAATTGATATTTTATAGTTTTGTTCTAATGAGGAGATCCTGACACTTTGTTTTTGTTCCATCAGAAGAATGAAGGTGATGTAATGGTGATAGATGTTCGAAGTGTTCCAGCTGATTTTCATGCTCGATATAAAGCCCAAGAGCGCACGTAAGTACTCATGAATCTCGATTATGGAGAAAACAAATGCAATCTTATGTCTGGGGACTCATATATATGTTAGTAACAGTATGCATGAAGATTTTTCCATGCTTATTTGACTAGATGGTAGAACATTCAAGTTAGTCTGGCAAATGTAAACAAGATTGCAGCTATCTATCATTTCACATGGTACGGTGGTATCCACCAATGAAACTTCTGTAGAATTGATCATAACCTTCCATTGGTTGGGTTACTGTACGCTAATTGCTGTTAGAATGTTTAACATAGCAGTTTTGTTTTGGATTGTGTCAGAATAATGTAGTTAGGCCTGATTCATGTATAATTAAATTCAGTGACTAGAACCATACATGATTTATTGTTTCACAGGCTTCGTTTAAATTTCTTCAGGTATTTCTACCGTCTTCTGTTTGGACCAGAGCCTTTGTCAACCTTTGAAAAAGACCGCGCATGGCATGTACCTGAGGAGCTGGATCTTTGTGCTATGCAGGTTCCTTAGCAGTTTTCCAAATAATATGTTTGCTCTAAATATATCTGGTCATTAATTTTCCGTCTAATGCAATTACCTTGATTCAAATTGATGCAGGAAGCATGCAAAGTTTTGGTTGGACATCATGATTTTAGTTCCTTTAGGGCAGCGGGTTGTCAGGTTGTTCCTCACCTCCCAATTAGCTAGGATTTAATGTTCTTCCCCTTGTTTGCTTTTGACACTGATATTATATGATGAGGGTTTTGTTTCTTTTCAACCCAAAAAAAAAAGTGTGTACTATGAGATGTGTCTTTATTCGTTGAAGAAGCATCTATTATATTCCCATCTCTTTATGGTCTTTGGTATCCACTGTCTCTTGAGATATTCCTTTTCTTAATCTTCATTCAGATTGACGAAGCATCTGTGAGTTAAAGTTCACCAAAAGGTTGGCAAGAACTTATCTGCGAGTTTAAGTTGTTTTTGGTTCCTGCTATCATAGGCAAGACTGGAATAGAAACAGTCCTAAGTGTCCGTACTCCACGGTTAAACTCATTGAAGACTTGATTAGGTGATACGGATTTCTATTTCTAATTTAATGTTTTTAAATTATGTTATCTATAGGCAAAATCACCGATCAGAACGTTGGATGAACTTAATGTTTCTGAGGTAGTGTCAAGTCCTTATTTTCCATCAATAATGGAGAGGAAACAAAACAATTTGGTGGAGGAAGATCCTGATGCCCACGCTAACAAATCTGAGACTGATACATCCTCTAGTTTCAATGGAGGACTAGGATTTGGCGTGAGAAAAAAGCACCGTTGCTTTGTGGTAACCGCACGAGCACGTTCTTTTCTGTACCACCAGGTTGAGCTCTTCTTCCTAAACCTCTTGCATATTATTTCCTTTTATTTCCTGTATGTGTTGGATGCTCTGTAATTACACACACACACACACACACATATATGTGTGTGTGTTTATATATATATATATATATATATATATTTTTTTTTTAAAGACAAAAGACTAATGCTCTAAAATTATGTAACTGTACACTTTGTTAACTTGCTGTTTAAATATAAATGTTCCTTCTTCCTAAACGTCTTTTTCTAATTTTTTTTTTTTTTTTTTTTAAATTAACACCTGCTGTTTATGTGATCTTGATTTCTGTTCACAGGGAGAGGGTAATGTTTCTCGAGTTTGCACTGTTTTTGGTTTCTTTTTGAGTGTGTACTTTGCTAGTTTAAAAGTATTTCCGTGTTCAGGTCCCTAATGACTATACCACCATCCCCCATAAAATAACTTAACAAATATATCATTAGGAACTTCGGTGAAAATGAGCAGGGATTCAGTTGCAGTATACATATTAACAATGTTTTTGTTTACATGACTAGAAATTTTTTCTTCCCCTTTCTGAGTTTTCAAAATTTTCACGTTGTAAATCTCTCATGCAAATGCGTTGTGCCCTCTTTAATTAGCACTGTGTCATGAGTTCTACAGAACTGTTTATAGTCTATCTACCTCCAATTCAAGCGGTTACAATCTGTTTACTGAGATTGTCGAGATTTATGCAGGTTAGACTGCTTGTTGGTGTACTCAAATGCGTTGGCACCGGAGATTTAAGAATACCTGATGGTGGGCAGCTTCGATTCTTCCATATTTTTTATTCTTTGCAGTTTGTTCCTTCTCTTGTAATGATCTAACCCCTTGTTCTGTCCTAATGAAATGGAATTTACAGTTGAGAGGATCTTGAATGCAAAGATGGTGACTGCTGCTAGTCCCATGGCGCCTGCTTGTGGTCTGTACCTTGGACAAGTGAAGTACGATTTGCCATGAGATGAAGACGGCAACTCTGTCTGATGCTTGCCGTGGACTTCTGTGGACTCTTAAGAGAAGACGTGTCTTCAGGGTTTGCATTATGGGTAAACGTTCTATGTTTGCACTTGTTCATGGGACTCTCGCGCGACTGCACCAAAGCCGACAGTAATTCTACAGTGGATGTTTGTTGATTCAACTTTCCGGGTTATACACTAGGCGCCAATTTTCACAGCCCACGGTGCGGCCATTGTTGATCCAAATTTCTCAAAAAGTGCATGAACACGGAAGCATTTTTAAGCAGTAGATGTCAAGTTAATGGTTGTAAATCGATGACCATGTAAACGATGTTTTATTTTCCAAATTAAGGATTGCCTCATTGCCAATACTAATGCCTCCATTTTTTCGGAGTACCGAAGGCAAGAGTACACTTCAAAACGGACTAAACCAAAAACACCATCCCTATCGGCTTGGATTTGATGACTGTAAGTGAAACTAAGTTGACTATAGCAGTGCACTCTGCACGTAATTCCTTTAAATTGAAGTTTTAACGAAAAGCCCACCTTACTGTTCACTTTAACGAAAAACCATATTTTTACACTAAAAAGTTAATCCTGGTACTATTCACTTTACTCTTTATTTTGTCCTTATCATTAAAACACTCACCATTAGTTCCTCTTGGTTGTCCATTATACAACCCGGCTGCAGTCCAATACTTGGTGAACTTCTTCTTCACCCGCCTCATAAGATCCAAAATGTAGTCACCTTTACTGTTATACTTGTAACAATTGTTCCAAATGTACTCCACATCTCTGAAAACATCCTCGGAATTATTATACTTGCGACCCTCTTCAAGATTACTGCATATTGTTCCAAAATCCATTGGTGTATCTATCACATCAAAATAATCCTGATTCCAGACAAACCCCAAGCCCACAAAACAAAACACAATGTCATTAATAAAAGCATGAAGAAAGGAAATTAGGTATGATGCAGTATTCATAGCATAACAGTCGGAACTTGAACCTCAAAGAGATGAAATGGAGCACACACACAAAAAAAAAAAAAAAAAAAAAAAAAAAAAAAAAAACCAAGAAAAAGAAAAGGCATTGTTCAAGACTTCCAGGTTCAAATTTTTGTGCAATGTGTATCTGACAAGAGTTAAGTACGTTTGATGGACTTGAGTCGCAAAATGAACTTCTACGAGTGTTGTAATCATCCCATTGAGGCACATGGGACCGATAGTCCATCAAACGTGCTTAACTTGGTCCCATGTGCTTTACGTCGTGCTCTCCCATTGTCAAATTCAAATTAAATTCTTTCTTATCCTGAGGGTAAAAAAATAACATAAAATTTGTTTTGCACCAAAAAACATCCACGTACATTGAGCACAAACTAAAATCAAACTTACAGGTATTCCCAAAGCTTCAGGATTCATAGGGACATTAAGGGGTTCAGAAGAATCCATTTTCATCACCTTCTTTACTATCTGTGTAAGTGATAAGTGAAGACAAATATAAGCACGTACACCAAAGCACACTTGAAACAGAAACTGACGACACTAAATTAAAGGTTTACATGACCCAAAAGAAACACGATTTACTTCAAAATTCTTAACAAACCGTCAGTGCAGTATCTAATTCTTGCTTGTTATAACGAGAATCTTGACCAGCCTCCTTCGATTCTCTTTTATGTGGACTCTCAGTCCGTGCAGGAACAGGATCAGTACTGTGGTTGACACTAGACCCCAACTCCTTTGATGTTTTAATCTTTACACTCCCAGTTTTCTTCGCCGCATTCCCAGAAGCACCAACGTTTATTTCATGCAATGAATTGGCACTCTCCTCCATTTTCTCAGAAACCACACATTGTCTTTCCCAAAAAACTTGTTGGCCACTCTTATCTGTATCACTTTGTGTGTATGCATCAGAAGAAGTAGGCTGAGAATCCATTGTTCTCGAAGTCCTAAGCTTCACTTTAACTCTTCCCACTGATTTCCCAACTCCCCTATCAATTGAACCGTCAAGATTTAATATTGGCAAGATTGATATGCTGATCAGTCCCGGTCGACCATTCCAGACTCATACTTATTATAGTAATTACCATCTTCATCCATACTTGTACCATCCTCCAAATTTACAATTGCCCCACTTGAAATTGCCTCATTTCCTCCTGCTACAGACCCTTTGGGCTTTCCTTTCTTGTTCTTTCGCTTCCGCTTCATCTCCTAACCAAAAACTAATCTGTCCCTGCTCCACACTGCACATACCCATTCACCAAAGCTAATTAAGGCATAATTCATTTAAGTACAGCTTCATTGTTTTTTAAGCAAAAATTAATTTAAAAAAAAAAAAAGAAACCAGTCTCCTTTTATACAGACTAACAAAAACAAATCCAAGAAATTAAATTCCAATTGGAGAAACCAAAACATAAAAAAATTTCAACTTTTTCGGTCAATTAAAACTTTCAAATTACATGTAAAACGTCTCCAATTTAAACCAATCATAAACCATTGACAAAAACAAACCAAACAAACTTCAGTAACTTAAGAAAAAATGTGCTTTTTTTTTTCCAGCAATTCTCTAACCCAAATTCAGTCAAAGCAACACAAAACCCTAAAAACAAGTAAATTAAACAATTGCAGAAAACCCTAGATTCATCAACAACCAAGGAACTAATAAAAATTCAAACTTTAGTCGAAAGAGGGAGAGAAAGATACTGTACCACTGCAGGAGCAGCTGATTATTTGAAGAAGTAAACCGTTTCGCAACTTTTCAAAAAACGGGTACAGCATGAGCGTTTTCTGTTCCCGCGAGATCGAGGGGGGAGGGAGAGAGAGGCGGAGCGCCAAGTGTACTGATACTGTTGGGCCCTCCAATTGGGCTAAAATGAGCTCATTTAACGGTTTACTCCTAAGCTAAATTAAACTGGTTGTTCAATACTTTAACTTTTTTATGTAAACGTTTCTATTCGAATTTAATAATATTTCACTTAAAAAAAATTGTTCACTCCCGAGAGAGGATCCTCACTAGATCCTTTTTGTGAGGATCCCGGAGATCATTCAATCATATCCGTTCATCGTACATCGTGAGATCAATTTTCGTCAATAACTGTTTATATTCAATTTTAAATAAAATAATTTACAATAATTTTTCACCGCATAATGGACGATTATGTAAATTAGAAGTAGATATTATGTAAGAATTCTAAAGGATTTAGAAGACCTTTCATATTAGTGTTTGTAAACTTTGAATTATTAGAATTTCTTACCGTTTATAGTATTAAATAATCCAGGTTTCTAATTTCTATTGGTCGGGAACACCACTGACATAAGTGAGTTGGAGTTGCGGAACTCTAAAATCTCTCCTTAACGGCGTCGTGTGGTTTGGCGTCTTAATTTTTTTGTTTTTCTCTCTTCCTCCCGTCGCTGCAACCTTTTTCCCAGCCGCCGTCGCTTCAACCTTCTTTCAAGCCACTCCTCAGCCGTTTCCAAGCCGGTCACAGTGTTTGTCTCGGCTTCTGGCGGCCGAGTTGGGTGGTGAGTTGGGAAATTTGGATTTTCTAGAACAATTTTTCCGTTGCTAGTTTTGGTATTCCCTTAATTTCATACTGAAGAAGCTCATACTTGTTCTGTCAATTTGAGTGTTAAATTTGGAATCTTTCTTTTATCTTGATTGCTATTCAGTAAAATTAAAATTGTTTTTTTGTGTGGATAGTTTTGCAGTTTTTGCAGGAAAAAAAAAACTCCCACTGATTTTTTTGTGTGGATAGTTTTGCAGTTTTTGCAGTTTTTGCAGGAAGTCCTAAGCTTCACTTTAACTCTTCCCACTGATTTCCCAACTCCCCTATCAATTGAGCCGTCAGGATTTAATATTGGCAATATTGACATGCTGATCAGTCCTGGTCGACCATTCCAGACTCATACTTATTATGGTAATTACCATCTTCATACATACTTGTACCATCCTCCAAATTTACAATAGCCCCACTTGAAATTGCCTCATTTCCTCCTGCTACAGAACCTTTGGGCTTTCCTTGCTTGTTCTTTCGCTTCCGCTTCATCTCCTAACCAAAAACTGATCTGTCCCTGCTCCACACTGCACATAACCATTCACCAAAGCTAATTAAGGCATAATTTCATTTAAGTACAGCTTCATTCTTTTTTAAGCAAAAATTAATTTAAAAAAAAAAAAGAAAAAGAAACCAGTCTCCTTTTATACACACTAACAAAAGCAAATCCAAGAAATTAAATTGCAATTGGAGAAACCAAAACATAAAAAAATTTCATATTAATTTTAATATTTGGTTGTGTTATTGATTTACAGCTGTAATGGCAGTTGGTTGTATTATATACATCTTACACACACGCATGCATTTAAACAATTGCATGCAATAAACAAATGTTGTAAAGGTGGCGTGCTTGCTGCCCATGTGCAGTATTCCTTCCGTAAAGGTGGCGTGCTTGCTGCCCATGCTGCAACACATCAGAGCACAGGAGCTGAAACCATGTGGTAGTCTGCTAACAAGGAATATTGTACCCACGTGCAGTATTCCTTCTGTCCAGGTTAGTGGGGCAAGTTCTCTCAACACTCCCCCTCAAGTTTGGAATGAATGTTGATTATTCCTAACTTGCAAAGCAAAGTCGTAAACTGGTATAAGCTCAGTGGCTTTGTGAAGATGTCGGCTGGTTGTTTCATGGTTGAGATGTGAGATGTCTCGATCATTCCACTTTGAACCCTTTCTCGTACAAGATGGCAGTTAATTTCTATGTGTTTGGTTCTTTCATGAAAGACCGGATTCGAAGCGATGTGAAGTGCCGCTTGATTATCACAATATAACTTGACTGGACGTTTATGTTTGATACCCAAGTCTTGTAGAACAGATTTCAACCAAGTGACTTCACAACAAGTTGCTACCATTGAACGATACTCCGCCTCTGCACTAGAACGTGACACAGTATTTTGTTTCTTGGTTTTCCAGGAGATCAAGGATTCTCCAAGAAATACACAGTATCCGGTGGTAGAACGTCGTGTGTCTCGACATCTGGCCCAATCCGCATCACAAAAAGCATTCAATTGAATTGGACTTCTTGCAGAAAGAAAAATACCTTGCCCTGGTGTGTGCTTAACGTATCGTAAGACTCGCTGGGCTGCCTCCAAGTGTGGAGTTCGAGGCTTATCCATAAATTGACTAAGAATATGGACAGCATACACCAAATCAGGGCGCGTGATTGTCAGGTAGATTAGTCTCCCAACAAGTCGTCGATAAGAGGAAGGATCAGTAACCCATTGTCCTTCGTCCTTTCTGAGTGATAAGTTTTGCTCCATAGGAGAGGTGGCTGGTTTTGCGCCAAGATGACCTGCATCCTCAAGTATTTCAAGGGCATATTTTCGCTGTGAGAGGGTGATCCCCTTGCTAGAGCGAGCAATTTCAATGCCCAAGAAATATCTTAATTGGCCAAGGTCTTTCAACTTGAATTGCTTCATAAGAAAAGACTTGGTATCTTCAATTGCTTGTATGTTATTTCCTGCCAAGATAATATCATCAACATAGACAAGGAGGGCAGTGAATTTACCATCATGGTTTCGGACGAACAATGAATAATCTGCCTTGGATTGTTGATAACCGGGCTTTCTAAGAGCACAAGAGAGTTTGATAAACCATTGACGAGAGGCTTGCTTAAGCCCATACAAAGATTTATGAAGTTTACAAACTCGTGTCTCCCCCTTTCGTTCGAAACCAGGAGACAAGGACATGTAGACATCTTCTTCAAGATCACCATGGAAGAAAGCGTTATTAACATCAAGCTGGTGGAGGTGCCATTGTTGGACCGAGGCAATAGCAAGGAGTAGACGAACTGTAGTCAATTTTGCAACCGGAGCAAAGGTCTCTCGATAGTCTCAGCCTTCAATTTGGTTATAACCTTTGGCAACCAAGCGTGCTTTATATCTCTCAATGGATCCATCGGATCGAAATTTGATTTTGTAAACCCATTTACATCCAACCGGCTTCTTGCCAGGGGGCAATGGTTGCAGAGACCATGTCCTATTCGCAGCAAGGGCTGCCAGTTCTTCTTCCATAGCGAAACGCCAGTGAGGGTCGCGTATAGCCTGTGAGAATGAGCTGGGTTTTATGGCAGCTGAAATGGAAGTGGTGAAAGCACGATGTCGAGCAGATAAACGATCGTATGTAGGACATCAGACAAAGGGTAAGGAGTACCTGGTACTATGGTCAACGCCGAGTGAGATGAAGGGACGGACCGAGAAGGGAGGTTGATGTCGATGTGATATTGTTGAAGATAACCAGGTGCATGAGTGGGTCGTTTAAGACGAGGTGGTGAGGTGGAAAGAAAAGGAGATGAAACCGAAACAGGACTCACCGGCGAAGAAGAGGATGTATCGACGGAATCCTGCTCCAATAGAATGGACGGATGAATGATGAGATCATCACAGGCAGTATCTTGAGTATGTGGAAACACAAGTGGTGAAACTGCAGCAGAAGATGAAAAAGGGAACACATGTTCATGGAAAATAACATCACGGGAGATAAAGATTTTACCCGTGTGAAGGTAGTAAACTCGATATCCCTTTGTGCCATATGGATACCCAAGAAAAAGACACTGTGTGGCTCTTGCATCAAATTTTGTGGGACGATGGTGGTGGGTGGAAGAAAAACATAAGCAACCAAACACTCGCAAATGTGCATACGCTGGCTGTTTGTGGTGAAGTATTTCATAGGGTGATTTGCCTTGAAGAAGAGGAGTGGGAGTCCGATTTATGAGATAAGTGGCAGTGAGGATTGCATCACCCCAAAATTTCTTAGGAAGATGAGATTGAAAAAGTAAGGCTCTAGCAACATTGAGTAAGTGGCTGTGTTTGCGCTCTGCTACCCCGTTTTGTTGGGGAGTAGAGACACAACTTGTTTGATGGAGAATCCCCTTATCTGAAAAAAATTCTGGACCGTTATCACTACGAAGAACCTTGACTCGTGTGGAAAATTGTGTTTCAACAAGGTGGATGAAAGTGATGAGATAAGATCGTGCTTCTGATTTGTGATTCATTAAATAAACCCATGTGCATCTTGAGAAATCATCCACAATAGTTAAGAAATATTGTGCCCCTGTGATAGTGGGAACATGGTAACCTCCCCAAATGTCAACATGAATTAACTCAAAAGTAGCCTTTGTGGTGATAGAACTCAAAGGAAAAGGAGCACGTGTTTGTTTGGCTAATGGACAAATCAAACAATCATCAATGCTACAAAAATTCAAAATTTTAATGCAAGTAGAGAGATGCCGTAAGGTCTTGTTGGAAAGATGGCCAAGGCGTTGATGCCAAAGCTGAGAAGAAGAAGAGGCAACAATTGACACTGAATTGCACCTGGTTTTCATCACATTATCAAGGTAGTAGAGTCCTTCTCATTCAGTTCCCGTCCCAATCATCTTCCCCGATCGTTGACCCTGAAGTAGACACATTTTATCAGTGAAGATGACAAAGCAAGATGAGGTATTAGTGAGTTTGCTGACAGAAATTAAATTCAGTTTAAATGATGGAACACAAAGCACGTTGTGAAGGGTGAGATCATTCGAGAGATGAACTGTGCCAATATGTGTGACATCGGCAAGTGCATGATTGGGTAAGTGCACTTGTCGATTGTATACCGGAACACTTGTGGTCATTAAGCTTGGTGAGCAGACCATGTGGTCTGTGGCGCCTGTATCGAAAATCCAGTCCATTCCCTTATTGAGAGCAGAAGCACAAAAAACTCCACCTGACAAGTTATTCATAGTAGAGGTGGTACCGACATGATTAGATGTGGAGTTGGATTGACTCTTATCAAGGAGTGCAAGCAGATTGTGATATTGCTCGGAAGTGAGGTTATAGGACGAAGGAGATGTTGCTGGAGGCGTTGGCTGGGTATCAACATGATTAGCCTTGGAATTGGAACCCCTGCGATCCTGATAATCTCCCCTATTGCTGTTGTCTTTCACCTTTTTCAGTTTGCGGCATTGATCAATGGTGTGACCTCTCCAATTACAGTAGTCGCACTTGAGGTGTGCACGACAGGTATCTGAAGTGTGTCCAGTTGCATCACAACGACCACATTTTAGATGGGAATTTCTTAGAGAAAAATTCATACCAGAGTTTCGCATGTTATCCCGCACGGCGAAAGCTGCGGTATCGGTGACTGAGGACCTTCCAGGAGCATGTATTGAAACTGTTCTTTGCTTCTCATCTTGAATAATAAGTGAGAAAGCTTTGTTGACAACAGGGAGGGGATCCATAAGTAAAAGTTGCCCACGAACCGCAGCGTAGGATTCAATGAGGCCCATGAGAAACTTCATGGTTTTCTGACTTTGCTGAAACTGCATTAATTCTTTTGCAGCTCCACATGTATAGGTTGGGAGAGTGCACATGGCATCACGTTCATCCCAAAAACTTTTCAGTTTGGTATAATATGCACCAATGTTCAAATTTCCTTGAACACTTCCATGTATCTCTTGTTCAATATGGAAGAGATGTACACTGTTTGTGTGAGAGAAACGTTCCTTCAACTCATTCCAAATATCAGCTGCAACATTGTTGTAGATGACACTTGCTCCGATATCTTTCGAGACAGAGTTGAGCAGCCAGGATTTCACGAAGTTGTTGCAACGAGTCCACTGTTGGAATTCACTTGTGGATGCAGACTCGGGCCTTTTAATGGATCCATTGATGAATCCTTCCTTGTTCTTGGCATTGAGGGCCATGGCCATGGCTCGGCTCCAAGTGGAGTAATTTTCGTCATTCAAAGGGTGTGTGACGAGGATCGCTCCAGGCTGATCAAAGTGATGAAGATAAAGAGGATCGCTGGGATCTTCGTATTTGGTGTGTTTGCTAGAAGAGTCAGTTGCCATGTCGGCAGGCAGTGTGCAGTGGCTGTGCTTGGCTGTGCTCTGTGGCTGTGCTTAATGGCTGTGACAGGTAGAGCAACGACGATGGCTGTGTAGCAGCTTTGCGACGGCAAGGCAGCGAGTGTGCAGCTTGCAGTGCACTGGTTGCTGCAGTAACAGATGTCGCTGTTCACAGTATAGCAGCGGAAGAGTGAAGGCAGAGCAGAGCAAAGGATTGCCTGAGCTCTGATACCATATTAATTTTAATATTTGGTTGTGTTATTGATTTACAGTTGTAATGGCAGTTGGTTGTATTATATACATCTTACACACACGCATGCATTTAAACAATTGCATGCAATAAACAAATGTTGTAAAGGTGGCGTGCTTGCTGCCCATGTGCAGTATTCCTTCTGTAAAGGTGGCGTGCTTGCTGCCCATGCTACAACACATCAGAGCACAGGAGCTGAAACCATGTGGTAGTCTGCTGACAAGGAATATTGTACCCACGTGCAGTATTCCTTCTGTCCAGGTTAGTGGGGCAAGTTCTCTCAACATTTCAACTTTTTCGGTCAATTAAAACTTTCAAATTACATGTAAAACGTCTCCAATTTAAACCATTGATAAAAACAACCCAAACAAACTTCAGTAACTTAAGAAAAAATGTGCTTTTTTTTTTTTTTTCAGCAATTCTCTAACCCAAATTCAGTCAAAGCAACACAAAACCCGAAAAACAAGTAAATTAAACAATTGCAGAAAACCCTAGATTCATCAACAACCAAGGAACTAATAAAAATTCAAACTTTAGTCGAAAGGGGGAGAGAAAGATACTGTACCACTGCAGGAGCAACTGATTATTTGAAGAAGTAAACCGTTTCGCAACTTTTCAAAAAACGGGTACAGCACGAGCGTTTTCTGTTCCCGCGAGATCGAGGGGGGAGGGAGAGAGGTGGAGCGACAAGGGTATTGATACTGTTGGGCCCTCCAATTGGGCTAAAATGAGCCCATTTAATGGTTTACTCCTAAACCGAATTAGACTGGTTGTTCAATACTCTAACTTTTTATGTAAACGTTTCTATTCGAATTTAATAATATTTCACTTACAAAAATTGTTCACTCCCGAGAGAATCCTCACTAGATCCTCTAATTATATCCGTTCATCGTACATCGTAGGATCAATTTTCGTCAATGATTGTTTATATTCAATTTTAAATAAATAATTTACAATAATTTTTTACCACACAATAGGCGACTATGTAAATTCCAAATAGATATTATGTAAGAATTCTAAAGGATTTGAAAGACTTTTCATATTAGTGTTTGTATTATTAGAATTTCTTTCCGTTTATAGTATTAAATAATCCAGGTGTCTAATTTCTATTGGTCGGGAACACACTGACATAAGTGTCTCCTTAACGGCGTCGTGTGGTTTGGCGTCTTAATTTTTTTGTTTTTCTTTCTTCCTCCCGTCGCTGCAACCTTTTTCCCAGCCGCCGTCGCTTCAACCTTGTTTCAAGCCACTCCTCAGCCGTTTCCAAGCCGGTCACAGTGTTTGTCTCGGCTTCTGGCGGCCGAGTTGGCTGGTGAGTTGGGAAATTTGGATTTTCTAGAACAATTTTTCCGTTGCTAGTTCTGGTATTCCCTTAATTTCATACTGAATAAGCTCATACTTGTTCTGTCAATTTGAGTGTTAAATTTGGAATCTTTCTTTTATCTTGATCGCTATTCAGTAAAATTAAAATTGTTTTTTTTGTGTGGATAGTTTTGCAGTTTTTGCAGGAAAAAAAAAAAAAAAAACAAATTGAATTTGAATCCTAGAGAGAAAAAAAATGGTACTTGGATTTGATAGGTGATTCTTTTTGCAATGGTTGTAAATTTTGAAGTGGGTTTATAGTGGGTGAACTAAAGTTGAACAAGCTCTCATAGCCTAACTCCAACCTCCTATATAATCCTTAATGATAGCATAATTTTGGTGGGGATGAAGTTGAAGGACTGAGAAAATGCTACCAATGTTTCTTACTATTTTTCATTTGACATGGCATACTGTGCACAATTATTCGTTAAACGGTTATCGAGTAGGTTAAATGTTGAGATTGGCTTCTCTCTCTTGTCTTTTCCTACCCTTGGTGTGCTTTACTTTCATAGTTATAACTTAGGATATCCTTTAGGGTCAGTCGATCGAGTGCCTTCTAGTTTGGGATGAGAGGGTGGTCAAAAGTCTAATTGATATACAAAAGTTCTCATTCTTTGTGTCTATATATGATATCATGAATGTGTTGGTTTAGTTTAGAAATCAGACAATGAGGATCTGTAAGGTCTCAACGTTTTGATTTCGTTTATTTTAGGGTGAACTGAGAAAATGAAGAAACAGTTCTCTCTAAGACATCAATGTTTATTTCATGATTGTAATTATTCTTGTGCTACCTTGTTAGCTAGGAAACTGTGCTGACATCTACTTTCGCCTAATGTGTGCAGCTGTACTCTTGGTGTTAATTGTCATCTTTTCTGCCATCTCCTTCTTTTGTTTATATGGTGCATTATTATATCATAATCAATCACAAGTGAAACTAGAGATGGTTTGTTGTGTTGTTGGTTTTGTGTTAGGTTATTATTGAAGCTAGTGGTGCCTGAGATTTGATTCAACAAGGTAACTGAAAGATATATAAAGCTGTCTTTTTCTTTTAAGGTAGCTTGTCAGTTTTATTCAAGCATTAGGGCTTTTGGATTGATCCAGAGCTGCAGTAGCAATAGCAGTTTTAATTAGTGCATATAAAACCAAAAGAATTGGACAATCATGTTAACACTTCAGTTGGGGGCGAATTTCTGATATTGTGTGCTTTAAATAGTATAGAGAATGTAAAGTATCGTGCATCAGAGCTCAGAATTATAGCTACCTCTTTTGAGTTTTAATCTGGGAATTTATTTTGTATTTCGTATAAAATTTCCTATTGTTGTTCTCTCATTTGTACTTTTTTTTGGTTATTAGTTGTGTAGAGCGGGTGGAAGAGTTCTAATGGAGGAACTTTTAGGGTTTACGGAAGAATCAAGAGATAATGAGGAGCTGGGTATATCATCGTTGTCATCATCATCGTACAGCTACAAATTGGTTCCCTGGTTGAGCTGGGATGAATGGCTTTTTGTTGAAGAATCTCTCTTTTCTAATTCACCTGATATTGTGGCCTCCGCCTTGAGAAGAGTAAGAGAAACCCAACTTCATGTTTTCATTTTGCTTACCATGGAATGTTTTCCAAAGATAATGTTATGTTAGAAATTTCACGTGGATATGCCTCCTTGTTTTGTTAGTCTCTCTAGTAGTCAAGGAAATAATTGTTTTGACGGGCTCATAATTAAATTCTTAGTGTATTGTTGAATCTGTTTGAATCTTGTGTATCGTTGCTATGATTTTGAAAATAATGAACACAATTATTTTTTTGAAGAGGTTTTTCCTTCTTATTGAATTTTTTGGAGGTTTTTGGCATTGACATAAATTCTTTTGATGTTTGAATTGTTGTTTGCAGATATCAACATGGAGAAGCAGAGGCTGTCTTCCTATTGTGATTGAAGTTACAGCATCAATTATTGAAATTCAGCAAAAAGATCCTCACTTTAGGTACCTTTTACTCCCAACTCCTCTGCGCCTGTTTGGATCAACTTCTTCTATCCTTTTTTACCCAGTGGAGGTAGGGATGTGGGAGGGGATACTTCATGCTAAATGTTGTTTGCTTTGTGGTTTTGTTTGTATATCTATCTCATATATTGTTTTGAATTTCTTCAAAAGATTGTCCTACTTTGCCAACTTCGTGTATGTGTTTTTGACTTATAGAAAGGACCAGTCAAATGATGCTTTAGATAATTGCAGAACAGCCCAATCAAATGATGTTTCGCTCTCAGAGGAAATGCTGGCCATGTTATACTGTATGGCAATCATGAGGTGAGGTTCCTTTAATTTTGTGCTATTAAATCTATCCATTCTTTTCTTTAATCCTTATCTTTTTGTGATGGATCAATGCATAGTTTAGTACGGTCCTAATAAGCACAGTGCAATAATTAGTAAAAACATGATCCTTGATCACCTATACTGCTGAATAAACACACACACACACACACTCTTTCGCTCTTTCACTCTCTCTTTGGGAGGTAGTTTGTAGTAGGTTTGGCTGAGAGGTAGACTACTTCGTTCCATGTATGGGTAGCAAGCATGTTAAACTTGTAACTGAGCAAAAAATTAGTATGATACATAAGCTAGTTGCATCAAGTGTCGTCTTTTTTCATGTTTCTACAAATATTGCATAGCCTTTGACTTATCCCAGCTACAATACAGTTTAAGCTATACCTGGAACCATGTCACTCAATAAGTCTTTAGAAGAAAACTTTTGACTAAATTCTTGTAGATGTATATGTTCATGTTCTTAGTACCAGTCATCTGTCAGAATCCTTAAGCATCCAGAATTTGGTCCGGAATTTTTTCTTGATACGTATTCACTGCTTGTTATCTTCAATTTAAAATATCTTCTGCTATGGGTTCTTGTAAGTATAGCATGCAGATTTTTTTTAAAGCTTTTTCCATCACATAACTGATATATCAACACAGTTTTTGAGGTCATGGTTAGACAGAACGGAGAAATTCAGTATTCATAGGGGATTAATGTTTAAGCTCATATTTATTTCTGCCTCCTTTTTCTGTTTATCATTGTTGCATGTGATGCTACATAAATACATCACCTTCACACATGTTGTCTTGTTTCTGAAGGCTTGTGAATGGTGTGGTTGAGAAGACAAGGAAAAAAACTGAGGTTTCAATTGCTGTGGCTGCCGATGCAATCGGCATTCCACGTACACTGATTGATATTCGTCATGGTGAGCAGCTCCAACTTTTATTTTGTAATCTTTTGTTAGTTGGTTAAGCCTTTAGGCATCTCTGTTGGATAACCAACCATGCCCATTTGACTTATGCCTACCTTGCGCACAGGGCTTTTGGTATTTAAAGTAATTTTTAAACACTCATGATACTGCACATTGATCTTTTTTTATTTTTATTTTTTACTTTTTTATTGCTTTAATTTTCAGAGGGATCTCACCGTGAACTTCCCACACTTGTCGTTGTTCGTACTGCTTCACTTAAGGTACATATCATGGTATATAAAAAAGAATCCCACCTTCAAATTCTTCAAATGCCTAATCATAATCTTTAGATTTTATAATCTAGTTTATTTAGTGATGAATAATTATAAAAGAATCCTAGTAAGACTTCCTTTGATGTTTGATTTAATTACTTATGGGTGCTGCACAGAATGTTGGTTTTATTGATAATATCTCTGAATTCCATTAAGTTGTGAAAACCGGCTTTCTTTTTCCATATAAACATAGGGGAAATATTTTCTGATGAGACTAGATTCTTATTTCAGGTTTTCTACACTTGACGTTATTCCAGCCTATTTTGGCTGGAAAAACATTATATTCTGCATTTCAATCGTACCAAAATGATATTATTATCTCTCTATGTTTCTAGTCACTTTTGTGGGCTAGAACTTTCAGATCTTGAATAGGGAAAGATTAATTGACCCAAAAAGAGAAGAAAAGAATAGGGAAGATTAAACTTGTTTCTGAAAACAAACCCTTTACGGTTAGTCTCTTATTCACCAGATATTACTAAGTTATTTTTGAGGATAAAAAGGACCCTTTACAGTTATCTTAACCCTTTATGGCTCCTCTGTTACAAGTTCATTTTAGTTTATGACGATTTGTTCGTTTTACCTTTTTTTTCCTACTGAAATACTTCAATGATTATATGCGAATTATGAAGAGGGTGACTTGCTTTAAATTTGAGAAGTTAAACATTGTCCATGGTTGGTGTTTTTAGGCCCTTGATTGGTTAAAGTGTTATTACTGGGAGCCTCAGAAGAAGAAAATTCCATTTCATGGTAATGAAACTGCTGAGATCAGAAATGA